GGACTAACCAAGGACTAACCAAGGGCCGAGGACTAACCAAGGACTAACCAAGGGCCGAGGACTAACCAAGGGCCCATCCACGAAAGTGGGGAAATTTTGAATGGCTACTACTGTAGTAACCATGACAACTGACCAGTAGGATAGTCAGTGCACCTCCAGGAACACCACCAGTACCCTAAAAAATATATTCTCCTTCTGTTTTAGAAACCAATGAAAGCAGAAACAGGTTGTAAATACAAACCAAACTCCTTGTAGAAGACTCCAATAGTCAAAAGGTATTAGGTAAATTATTATAATTTCTGCTAATCCTTAAACCATCCCTGGCAATGAAAATATCCATCTAAACATCTCCAGAACCTCTCAGCTAACATTGTCCCCTAATTATCCCCTAACTGGACAGAAGAGACATGGACCACCAGAAACATTCCCAAAATCACACTGAGCCAAGGTAACGTCAAGTAACCACAACAAAACCCCCAACATATGTTCTCCGGGAACTTTTATGGACCCCACATGTCCTCACAGAACCATCCTTAAACATATACTCTGAATTTGTTAACTGTACAGAGTTACGTGTCTAGAAACCACATCCAGGATCCCTAAAACTTCACAGAAGACTCCAACAAACTCTGAACCTTACAGCTTTTTTATAGGAAACATAATCTGGAGTGGAGCATCAGGATCAACATAAGAACATGCTGGGGAATCTCCAAAACCATCAGAGACAAAACACCTAAAGTTCCACCTGAAGGTGAAATAAAAATGTAAAAAAAAATCCTCATAACGTCAATCGTTACAGAAAAAAAAGGTGGAATTGACCTAAAAGCACTTATCTCTGAATGAATCACAAACCAACTGTAGGTTTCACAGGGTTCCTTCAAAAACTCCATAAGTACCTAAAAAAGTGAGTCACCAAAATACGACTCACTGAATCCTGTGTCCCAATCTTAACTAACCTCCAGGATCCTTAGAATATACTGAAACCCAACCCTGAATGAGCCTTAAACCTTTTAAACTAGAGAAAAAAACACAAGCAGAAACCAAATTATCACCAGATATCATCTCCAATGATCTCTGAAACCTACGAGGACAAAATAAACCCCAAAGGACTCAACAACCTGCTTTCTTTCGAAACTTCTTCAGATTCATGGAAATATTTTACAATTCAAAGACCTGGAACTCTCTTAGGGTCAAAGGACATTCTTCCAAAACATCTGTAAGCAACCCCAAGGACAGCAAGAACCTGTCCGGCCATGAGACCAACACTGATAAAGACCCGAAACTCAACCTAAACTATCATATAGAACCAATCCAGTTTATTTCTATAGCTCCAATTCCCATCATGTCATC